GAGATGGATTGGCCAGGTGACATCATTGATGGCGTCAAGTGTGGCGGCGGTAGTGAGGTTGGCCCAGGATCGGACATTGTTTCGTTCTGCTGTGCATGGGATCGCTATGAGTCAGTTCCGACTCGACGGCACCTGACGACAACAACAACAAAAGAAATAAATCCATCTTCTCACCTGACAAAACTGTTTTAATTCTCCTGGAATCCAGATTTCAGGGTTCATGGAACTGTATGGCCATTTACCTTTAAGAGTCTGTTTGAACTTTGAGCCTTTAAGAATCTGGTGCCCTGAAGTCACTTCACATAGTCTAGTAAACTGTTCAGCAAAAGATAATATGCCTTAGGCATACCTATCCACTCTATCAAGTGGATTTGAACTCATAGCAATGCTATAAGGCAGAGTAGAACTGGTCTATAGGATTTCTCAAACTGTAGCATAAAACCTGGAGTCCTGCTGAGGCACCACAGGATAAGCACTAGACTACTAACCACAAGGTCAGCAGTTCAAACCCACTATCCACTCTCTGGGAAGCATGGGTGAGGAATATTTGACCTGTGGGCTGTATGTTGTTGCTGGTAAGTGCCATGGAGTCGGTTCCGACTCATAGCAACCCTGTATGGGTTTCCAAGGAACAGTTGGTGGGTTTGAACTGCTGAGATTGTGGTTTGCAGTCCCATGCTGATCCCATAGCGTCACACCAGGAGTCCATGGGTCTTGAGATCATTAGTTCTGGCCTGCCAAGGCAACTGCAGTTCCAGTCATCCCACTGTTGTTTGTTGTTGTTAAGTGCCATAGAGTCGGTTCCGACTCATGAGTTAATTAAACGACCAAATTGTTTGTTGTTGTTGTTATGTGCTATGGAGTCGGTTCCAACTCATAGCCACCCTGTACAGGGTTTCTGAGGCTGTAAATCTTTAAGGGAGCAGAACGCCTCATCTTTCCTCCACGGAACAGCTGGTAGTTTCAAACTGCTGACCTTGCGATTTGCAGCCTAATTCGTAACCAGTACGCTCTGGTAGCGTAGTGGTTACGAATCGGGCTGCGAACCTATGGGTCGGAACCTATGGGTCGGAACCGACTCAACGGCACTTAACAACAACAACAACAACGCTACCAGAGCGCCTTGATTGACCAAATACAGCAGGCTAATTTTTAAGTTGATAATTTTGTATGGCTTGCAAATGATGTTATAAATATCCAAATGGCCCTTGGCAGAAAATAGTTTGCCCACCCCTGCTATGAGCTGAAACTGACTCCAAGGCACTTAACAAAAACTGCTGCATAAAACCCAACCCAAATCCACAGCCACTGAGTCATGCCAACTAACAGTGACCCTATGTAGGATTTCCAAGGCTGTAAATCTTTATGGGAGCAGAAAGCTTCATCTTTCTCCCTCAGAACAGCTGGTAGATTCCAACTGTTGACCTTGTCGTTAACATCTCACCTCATACCACCAGGGCTCCTTAAAACTAGAGACTAGAGACTGTATTTTGAACTGTTTGGCTTGTCCCTGGTGACTCAGTAATCAACCCAGAGACCCAGAACCCTGATGCTGTTGTCTGAGAAATTAACACAACTCTGACCCATTTCATGGTGTTGAGGCTGCCAGATTCAAATAATGTTTACTCATAATAAATATATTCTTACATTCGTTTTTGGTAGTATCCTGCGCATTTAGGTCATGTCTGATGGTCAAGTGTCTGACCCCTAGTAAACTGGGTGTATAGTGTGTTACCATTTCTGTAAAATACTATTAAGTATATTCACAGAAAAACAATTTAAGAAGGTACTCTAAATGTTAGCAGTGATTATCTTGTTTGTATTTGGGAGCGGGGTTGAGGAAATCTTTTTCTCTAGTATAGTTTGTGTGACATTTGATGCTCATAAAAAAGTGGAGGGGGCGGGGAATCCAGGTATACTGAAAACCAAAAAGTTGCAATAACTAGGTAACGACATTAACCTCTAAATAACAAAGGGAGCCCTGGTGTGGCGCTGTAGGATAAGCACTGGGCTGCTAACCACAAGGTCTGAGGTTCAAACCCACCAGCCACTCCTCAGAAACCCTATACAGGGTTGTTATGAGTCAGAAGTGACTCGTAGGCACTTTGTGGTTGTTGGTTGGTTCTTTGTCGTCCAGTCCGTCTGACCCTGTATTGGGTTTCCCAGGTTGCAGCAGAAAGTCTCATCTGTCTTCTGCCAAGCGACTGGTAGATTCCAAACACTGACCTTGCAGTTAACAATAAATAACAAAGAAACTGAAGATAGTGCTAGGCCGACCCTTGCAGAATACAAGGAAGCAAGCAATACTGCACTTTCTTCCCCCACCCTCAACTCCACCCCCAGCAATAAAAGCAGCCGGGCCCAGCCCCAGGTCGGAAGACTGCATTCCTGGGCTTGGCTTTCCACACCGAAGTTTCCCTCTTCCTTCTTCTACAGGTGAGTGTGTTTCTTACGGTCTTGTTCCAGGCCTGCATGTCACTAGGGGCCCAGATGGAAGGGCGGGCGACCCGAGGCCCGAGGCCCGAGCAGCGCCAGGGGCAGAGTCCGGTCCCAAGAGCAACGGCTGGGCGGCTCCGCTGAGTCAGCCCTGCTTGCGGCTCCGGCGCTGCCGCGTGACCTTCGGCCACGTGATCCGCGCGGGGCGGAACTGCCAGAGCTGTCGCTGCACCCAGCCGTCCTCGTAAGTAAGGAGCGGGACTGCCGGGGACCCTCCTTGGGGACTTTCCTAGTAGGCTGGGCGGGGGTCTCGGCACCCTGGGACTGGCGCTCCTGCAAGCTGCTCAGGCCCCTTCCCCACGTGGAACCGGAAGGGTGGTGAGATCGTTATCCCCGTGAGGTGACCACTCCGTTACCCACTAAAGGTTGTACAGGATGACTCTATGATGGGACTTCGCAATCAGACTGACCTCAGTGCTTGGGGGAATAAAATTCCTCCTTTCAAAGCTGTAATCATTACTCCGTTGTGATTTGGGGAAACTGAGGACAGAGGGTTCACAAAGCTAAGAGAGTCAGTAGGAGCGCACCTTTCTGGACAAAGCCCTTCTCTTCACCTGCGCTAGTGACTCAAGGTGATTCATGACCCCACCACTACTTGAGGTAGAGAATATCAGACCTAGAGGCCGTTTGAACTGGGGAGAGCTATAAGATAATAATAACTAATATTGTGAATACTTGTTTAGTGCCGTCGAGTCAGTTCCGACCCATAGCGACCCTTTATAGGGTTTCCGAGGAGCAACTGGTGAGCTTGAACTACTACGTACTATACATGCCAGAGTCCCGGTGTGGCACTGTGGTATATAATGCACTGGACCGGAAGTTCTGTTTGAACCGCAAGGTTACCAATTTAAATTGACTAGCCGCTCCTTGGAAACCCTATACAGGGTCACTATGAGTCAGCACCAACTCTGCGGCACAATAACAACAAACTATACATGTCAGGAGTCCTGGGGGTATTGGTTAGGCATTGGACTGCTAATTAACTTGTCTGGGGTTCAAGCCTACCAGCCACTTGGAGGAAGAAAAATGAGGCTGGCTTTCCCGGTAGGTTTACAGTCTCATAAACTTTATGGAGTAGTTCCACTTTATCCTATAAAATCCCTCTGGTGAGCTTGGGTTTGGGGTTTGACATGCATTATCTTACTCAGTATTCACTATCTGAGGAAACCGGCTCTGAGAACTTTGACCAAGTTCCTCCAAATCCCAGACCAAACTAACTCATAGTGACCCCTTGTTGTCTGTTCCAACTCATAGCAACCCTATATAGGGTTTCTGAGGTGTGGCTTATAATTAGCAGTCTAGTACTTATCTATCCTACAATATGTTATTGTTGTTGTGTGCCATTGAGTCAGTTTCTGAGATGTGCCTTGTGGTTAGTAGTCCAGTGTTTATCCTACAGTCTGTTGACGTATACCTTTGCATCAGTTCTGACTCATAGTGACCCTGTATAGGGTTTCTGCCAACCTTGTGGTTAGCAGTCCAGTGTTTTGCCCTATAACACCACACCAGGATGGGGTAAAACTACCCCACAGGGTTCCAAGTTTGGAGTCATGGTGTGGCGGTTCAAATCCAGCAGTTGCTCCTTGGAAACCTATAAGGATACAAGGTCACTATGAGTTGGAACCAACTCAAAGACAATTAACAACAACAATCTTTTTAGAGAATCCTGCAGAGTGGCTGGTGAGCACTTAACATCTGTGCTATCGTGTTGTTGATAGAGGAACTGAGGTTAGAACTCAGGTGTGCTCCTGATGGCTGGTGGAAGCCCTCCATCCATTCTGTTCATTCTGTGCCATGAAAGTCAGGGCCGTCCTTTTCCAGTTCTGACAGCTTAAGAAGAGAGTTGTTGCTGGGTGAGAGGGACTTGCCCCCTCCACTCCGATACCTCCATTTTTCCATCCCTGACCCTTAACCATTGACTTGCTTTTGTCACCCACTTACAGGACACGATGAAGCTCATCATCCTGGACCACTATTTGGAGGCCAGCGAGTGGGCAGCTAAATATATCAGGAACCGCATCATCCAGTTTAATCCAGGGCCAGACAAATACTTCACCCTGGGTCTTCCCACTGGTGCGTTACGGGCTGGAAAGGATGCCAAGGATGGGGAGTAGGAAGTGGTATCAGGGGCCAAGATAAATAGGCTGACTCAGCCAAGGAATATCAAGGAGGCCTCTGAGATGCTAGTGCTTTAATTCAGCCCTCCTGTGCCCCTCAAACATGCAAACAAGAGGACCCAGTTTACTAATGGTTTTGTTTAGTTGCTACCCATGTCTGAAGAGACTTGGAGCAGAATGGATCTTGGTTACGCAGGAAGAATTTCATTTTTAGGCCACATTGTAAGTCATTTCTGATGCCCTAATGAAGAGCCCTGAAGGTACAGTGGGTTAAGTATTATACTGCTGACTGCAAGGTTGGTGGTTCAAACCTACCAGCCACTAAGAGGGAAAGGTGAATCTGCTTGCTTCCCCAAAGATTTACAGCCTTCAAAACCCGAATAAGCAGTTCTCTGTGCTGTAGGGCTATTATGAGTCTGAACTGACTTGATGGCAGTGGGTATCCGTTTTATATAGGGAATTAATTTGTCTTCTGAACCTCTAGAGTTGTTATTGTTTTTAAGTGCTGTTGAGTCAGTTCCAACCCATATTGACCTTGTATGAGGTTTCTGAGGAGTGGCTGGTGAGCTTAAACCGTTGCCCTTGCAGTTCAAACTGACTTTGCAGTCCAGTGCATTAACCCACAGAGCCACACCAGGACAATAGCCCTACCTAAGTACCTTCCTTGAAAGAATTGAGCAGATAGTCACTCAAATCATTTTCTGTAAGGACCTAACTGGAATACAGTCCTAGTTTCTCTGGGAAAAATTACAATGTTGTCTCTATAGGAAGAGAAAGCTATGGACTCCCACTTCTCAAAGCAGATGTCCTATTTCTTCAGGGTAGGGTGGATTTGCCTCAAGACTTCCATGTGGCCCTACCTGACCTATCTATCTATTAGAGGAAAGGGCTTCAAATTTCTTCTGCAAATAGTCAGAAGGTGGATATTTTAGGCTTTGCTAGCCATACAATCTATGACACAGCTTTTCAACTTAGCCATTTGTTGTGCTTTTGAATTGGTTCCGACTCATAGTGACCCTGTTGGTTTCCAAGGAACAGCTGGTGAATTTGAACCACTGACCTTGTGGTTCAAGCTGATCTTGTGGTCCAGTTCTTAAACTATGGATTGAGTATGGCTGTGTGCTAATAAAACTACTTATGGGCAGTGAAGTTTTAATGTATATAACTTCACATCACAGAATAATTGTCTGGAGTTCTTTCCAATTATTTAAAAAATGTAAAAATCATTCTGTAGACTGTATAAAAACAGGGAACAGGCCAGATGAGGCCTTTCAGCCAACGTTAGTAACCCCTGCACTGAAGTTTCCAGGAATGGCATCTGTCTAGCACTGTGAAACTGACAGAATCTCAGGCCATACAGGAGCTATACACACACCTGCCTTAAACTGTGGAATGACCCAGCCTCCACCTGGGTCAGAGTCTGGGCTTCTGCTTAACCCCTGCCTGCCCCCTCACCACCCTAGTTTCCCATCAGCTTCAACTTCACTTTTTTTTTTTTTTAATTGAATTCTTGTATTTTTTTTTCCAACTTTTTATTGTGAATTAAGTGAAGGCTTACAGAGCAGATCATTAGTTCTATATTCAGCAGATCATATACTTTGCTTCATTACATGGTTACAATCCCCTCCAGGCAGCAACAGTTAACAGCATTTACCTCTATTCACTTTAACCATTGCATTCCTCCATGTGTCTCTTGCCACCCCCTTCTTTCCTCTGCTCCCTCCTTGTATACTGCTTGCCCTGTCACCCAGGTTAACATGTTACCTTTGTTGTTAAATGCTATTGAGTCGGTTCTGACCCATAGTCATGCTGTAGAGTTTCCAAGAAGTGGCTGGTGAGCTTGCAGTTCAAACCAACTTTGCAGAACAGCGCATTAACCCACAGCGCCACATGAGGACTCCAACATGTTAAATAGCCCATGAATAATTTTCCCTTCCCATTACCCCCCCAACCATTATAGATTGTTTCTTTTATTAAGAAAACCTTTTTTTTTTTTTTAAACTTTACAGCATTAGTCTCATACAATGTTTGTCCTTTTGTGACTGACTGATTTCACTCAGTGTAATGTCCTCCAGGTTCAACCATGTTGTGAGGTGTTTCACAGACTCATCATAATTCTTAAACGTTTTGTAGTATTCCACTGTGTGTATGTGCCAAAGCTTGTTTAACCATTCTTCTGTTGATTGGCATTTAGATTGTCTCCATGTTTTTGATATGTCGAAGGATCCTGTTTTCTCATTTGCTCTTTATATCTCTTGATTGGTAAATTTGATCCATTTACATTCAGTGTAATTATCAATAGGTAAAAATTGATTATTATCATTTTTCTGTGATGTGTTGTGTGTGATCCTACGATTCTTTGTTCCACATAATTTTCTATGCTGAGTTCATTTTGTTTGTGGGTTTTCTTGTCATTTTCGTTTCTGATGTGTCAGTGTTTACTACATCTTCCTGGTGTTCCTCTTTATTTTATTGTGCAGCTGTATTTTTTTTCTTTGAGGTTACCCTGTAGTTTATGAACTACTTATAACAGTCTTCTGTGTTACCTTGAAATCTACTTAACTTTCTTGCCATATGGAAGTTCTGTAGCTACACTATTCCCTCTTTTTACTTTGTAGTTGATTTCATTATACATTGATACCTCTGGTTCCCTATTTTCAGCCTTTTAGGTTTGTTTTACTTAAAGTACTTCTATATCTGGATTGAGTGCTATGTGGTAATGTCATGTACGGTAATCCCAGGTTGTTTTCTGCTGTTGTTGGTTCTCCATCCAGAGAACATCCATAAGCATTTTTTTTTTTTTGTAAAATTGGTCTGATTACTACAAATGTCTTGAATCTGTTAATCAGGAAATGTCCTAATGTTGCCATTGCAATTGAGGGACAGTTTTGCTGGTTCTTGGCTGGCAATATTTTTCTTTCAGAGTTTTGTCTATGTCATTCCATTACCTTCTTGCCTGCATGGTTTCTGCTGAGAAATAAGAGCCAAGTCTTATTGGTTCTCCTTTGTAGGTAATTTCATTTTTCCTGAGCTGCTCTCAGGAGTTTCTCCTAGTCTTTGATTTTGGAAATTTTGATTATGATATATCTTGGTGATTTTCTTTTGGGATCTATCTTGTTTGGGCTTCATTTATCTTCTTGTATGCTTATCTTGTCTTTCATGATGTTAGGAAAGTTATCTTCCAACAATTCTTAACGATTTTCTCTGTGCTTGCCTCTTTGTGTTCTGAAATTCTGATCACACCTGTATGTTGTTCCACCACGAAGAGGATTTTTTCATTCTTTTTTCTGATTGTTCTTGCATACTAGTATTGAAAGATTTATTTTCAAGCTTACTAATTCAGCTTTCCGTTGCTTCACATCTACTCTTTTGCCCACTCAATAATGTATATTGTCCATTTTTGAGATCTTAGTATTAATCTTTTCAATTTCTAATTGCCATTTTGATATTGTTTCCAAATTTGCATGTATTTTGTCTGTTTGTTTTTGTAGTATTTTCCTGAATTCTTCTCAAGTTTTTTTAAATGTTCTCCTTGTTTTCTTCAGTCTTTCTATCGGTTCTTTGAAGGTAACCTAATTCTCATTCTTTCAGATTCTTTTTCATTTAATTCTATTACCTTTTCTTCCTCAAAAACATCTTTTGGCTCTGTATCTTGGCCAGTTGTGTGAGCCATTCTCTCTTGTTTCTTCATGTGAGCTAAAATTGTCTCCGGGGCATTGTGAGGTTGTTGTATTTGTAAAAACAAGCAGTGCAGTTGTTGGACCAGGGGCTGGGGGAGAAATCTGTGGGGAGTTCTTACAATTTAAAGAGCTCACGAGGTGGTTGTGGAAGAGATGTGACAGCAGAGTTCCTGACCCTAAGTGGAGTTCCTATTGGCTTAGGTGTTACCTGTGCCCGGGGCACTCATTCCGGAAGTGGTTCATGGAGACCCTGGATGGAGCTGGTTTCAGTGTCTGTTAGGACCACAGGGAACCTGGGAGCAGGGTGACTAGTTAAATGGTTGTCTGGTGCCTCTGTTGGTTTTGTATCTGGAACTGAGCTCCCCTGAATCCAGGCACCAAAGCCCTGCAGCTGGCCTCTACCTCACACTGGCATGGCTTCTAGCCATGGCAGCTCTGGACTCCCGGAGAGCAGGGTCTGCGCTGGGGGTGGATGAGGGTGGGAGCTAGCCCCACTTCTGGTAACCAGGGGAGCTTGGGGAGAAAGAAGAAATCACACCTTTCCTGTCGACCATGGGAGTCCTCTCAGCCAGGCCTCCCTGCACCGTCAAAGCTACTCAGAAGACAGTGAAGCCGCATCTGCCGGCCTGTCACACTTGAACCAATGTAGTATTTCCATGGGCTCCTTGGAACGTTCCTTTTGTTATAAGAAGCACCTGTCAGAGTTCTGTGTGGAAACCACAAAAACCAACTCCAGGTAACTTAACTAAATATTAGTGAGCTCACAGAATGAATGGGAAGCTAGAGGTTTGGAAAACGGCAGAACAAGGAAAGCTAATAGGGGATTTCAGAAAGCTCATGGAAAATTTTAATTATAAGGTCATGAAATTTTTCCATGACTTTTTTGAAGCCCCCTCAACATGGTGGTGGTCTAGCTAAGGCCACCTTGTCACAGGAAGAGGCTGACTGTTTTGGGTGGGTTGGGGAGAACAGATCTTTATTGAATGCCCACTGTATGCCAGGCTGCTGTAGGTGCTAGGGATATAGCAATGAACAAAAGATACAATTTCCTGCCTTCCTCAAACAGAAATTGTAAGTGGAAGAGATAGACAGTAAACAAGTTAATTATCAAAATATAGTGTATGTTAGGTAGGTGATAAGAATTAAGGAGAAAGACGAAGCAGGGAAGTTAAGGAGTGTCTAGGCAAGGGTCAGGAGCCCTGGTGTGGCACTGTAGGAAAAGCACTGGCCTGATAACCACAAGGTTGGTGATTCAAGCCCATCAGCTGCTACTTGGAAACCCTATATAGGGTCACACTGTGAGTTGGAACCGACTGGATGGTACTGAACAACAATAGGCAGGGGCCAAAGGTTGTAGTATTGGATATGGTAACAGGGACAGTCTCTCTAAGAAAGTGATACTTTAGTGATTTTGAAGTGAGAGCGCTAACCATGCAGATACCTGAAGGTGGGGCATTGCTGCCAGGAGGAGGAGCTTGAGCAGAGCCTTGAGGTGGGCATGTGCTTGGAGTAGGATGAGTGACAAGGAGAGAGTGGGCTAGCCAGGAGACAGGTTATAGGACCTTCAGAAGGACCCATTATCACTCAGTGAAATGAGAAGCCATTGATGGGTTTTGAAAAGAGGAGTGATGTACACTGATTTGGGTGAGGTTTAGTCTCTTCCATTTTTTTTTTTTTTTTGAAAAATTTCAAATACTCAAAAGAAGTTGACAGGATAGTGCAGTGGACGCCCAGGTACCGTTCCTCTAGGTTCGCTAGTTAACGTTTGGGCCCATTTACTTTCCTATGACTCACGTTCTGTCTATACACACACATAGATACACACATTTTTTTTTTCTGGATCAGAAGAAATTCCAAACACATGGAACCTCAAAATCCTTCAGTACATACAAGGAAGCTTCAAAAAGTTTGTGGAAAAATGGAATGAAAAGGTAATGGAATTTTTTCATGAACTTTTTGAAGCCCCTTTGTATCTCCAAAGAATAAGGATATTCTATATTATTATCACACTTAAAACATCATTCTATAATATCTACTGTACAGACTATGTTTAAATGTTCCTAATTTTCTCACATACATCTATAACTTTTTTTTTTTTTTTTTGGTAAAGTAATCCCATATCCAGGCAAGGTTCATGTATCTTTAAAATCTTTTAATCTGTAGTTGTCCTCCTGCCTTTTAAAAATGTGTGTGTGTTTTATGACATTGAGACTCAGTTTGGGATTTTCTGTTCCTCAGGAAACCTGACCCTAACCCTGAAGGTGAGCCTGTGCTTACTCTGATCTAAGGGAACTCACCCAGGGCAGCTCCTCTGTTTTTGCTCCTCCATCCCCATCACAGGTCCCTGTTCTTCACTCATAATAGTCCATAATCAAGCCTGGTGTTCACTCAGTGACTAATCACGGTCATTTCAGTCATCAATGTGCCAGGCACTGGGGATTCAGTAGTGAACAAGGCAGGCAGTCCTGTCCTCCTGGAGCTTACAGTCTAGTGGGGAAATGGGCATTGACCACACAATTCATGGGTGCCAGTTGGGACGGAGCACTGGGGCAGGACTTCAGCTGTGACTTGTCTCTCTCAGATCTCTTCTTGCAGAGCCACCCTGATGCATTTTTGAGCACCCAGAGGGCACCCAGAAGCTATGGGCTGCAGGGACACTCCTATCTGTGGTCTCTCTTGCAGGGAGCACCCCACTTGCCTGCTACAAGAAGCTTATTGAATACTACAACAACGGGGACCTCTCTTTCAAATATGTGAAGACTTTCAACATGGATGAGTATGTGGGTGAGTCAAGGCCTAGAGAGGAAGGGGCATGTCTCCTGGAGCCAGTGACAACTGATGATAGGCTTAGTTATTCGTATGTATCGTCCATGGCTTCATGTACTTGGCTTTTTTAAAAAGGTGCTAATAAAGCTGATCTCATAGATTATAATCACTAAATGGTATCCTAGTAGATGTAGTAGAAGTAGAAGCCCCTTGTGCTTTGTAAGCACCTATGACTATTACACTATTTCCTTCTCCTCTGCTTCCCTTAACTCCATCTGTTTCTTCCTGGAACAAGTGATTGTAAATAGCGCCATGGCTCAGGCATGTCCCCGAGTCTAGACTTTCTCTACAGTGCTTACCCTCCAGCATTCCTTTCTGTCTGGTAGATGGAGGGGTGGGGGAGAAGGTGAGGGGACCTGAGACTGACGTTCTTTACTTTTCTGCTCAAAAACTGTATCTTGAACTTTTAGCATCTCCCCCAATTCCCATCATTTTATATTAGCTTCACTTTAAACATTCTTTTGGTTTTCTTCCTAGCTGAAGAAATCAATTTTAGGAAGTCCAGAGATAATCTTTCCATCAACATGGGATTCAGCTTAGGATTCAGGCTGAGCTGGTCACAAGAGTGTGAATGATGGATTAGGAGGCACAGGGTAAGAGGTGTCTGCCTGTTTCCCTTCTGGTTGGATCCAGCTCAGCCCCAGTTTGTCTAGGCTAATTCCTGAAGTACAGAGTGAGTGATCCCAGCCACCAACCAACCTGTGTAAAAGGGAGATCATAATGAAGGAATTCACATGGCCCCCCAGTTCCTTGGTCACAGGTGGTGGCATTGGGTAGAAACTTGACACCAGTTTAGTCTGTCCTGAGTGGTGGGTTTAGTGGGCTGGTGCCCAGGGTCACCTGATGGGCAACTCCCTAGGAGCACCTCAGTGGGTCTGAGGGCATCCTGGCATCTCCATTGGCTCAGCCTGGGTGTGACAGAGTTTGACCCTGACTCTTTAGGCCTTCCTCGAGACCACCCTGAGAGTTATCACTCCTTTATGTGGAACAACTTCTTCAAGCACATTGACATTGACCCAGGAAACACCCACATTCTGGATGGGAATGCAGCCGACCTGCAGGCTGAGTGTGATGCCTTTGAAGAGAAGATCAAGGATGCTGGTGGGATTGAGCTGTTTGTTGGAGGTGAGCTTGGCATTTGGTAGCACATGTGCTAGACCAAAACTGGTTGGTTGGAACACATGGGAAGAAGGACAAGACATGTATGATTCTAGCTTCCTGTGTCTGCTAGTGACAGTGGGGGACTCTCAAAACATGTGGAGGCAAGGAAAGCACCACAAGAGTGGGAGCCCTAGCTCCTGGCCCCCACGCTGCAGTTCAGTGATGTGTGATCTTCTGCATCTCCTCTTTGTCCTTTGGTACCTTGTCTGTGATTTGACAAGTTTGGATTTGGACTCTTGAGATTCTATTGTATGTACTCCATAGCCTTCAGAATTTGTGGATCAGTGATGATCCATAAATCAAATTCCAGAAGGTTCTGCACTCAACCCGTGTATTTATCAATGGCCAGTTGAACCCCAAAGAAGTTATGTGATTTGTCCAAGTTCATTTAGACAGTGAGCAGGAACCTGAGCCGTCTGCCTCTCAGCTTTGTGCTCTTATCTCTACTCTGGGCTGCCCATTTACATTTCCATCTCTTGTCACCCACAGGCATGTAAAGTAGGACTTTCCTTTTATTGCTTTTAACTCTTCTACATTTCAAGGAGTTCTGGTGTGGTGCTGCAGGATAATGCACTGGATTGCAAGGTCGATTTAAACTGCAAGGTTGGTGGTTCACATTCACCAGCCACTACTTAGAATACAGGGTCGCTGTGAGTCAGAAATGACTCAACAGCACTTTACATTTCAAAGTAATGGAGCCCTGGTGGCACAGTGCTACAGCACTCAGCTGCTAACCAAAAGGTTAGTGGGTCATACCTACCAGCTGCTCCCAGTGCGAAAGACAGGTAATCTATTTTAATAAAGATTGACAGCCTTGGGAAACCCTGTGGGGCAGTTCTACTCTATCCTATAGGGTTGCTGTGAGACAGAATTAACTCAACAGCAGTGGGTTTGGGTTTTTTTTGGATGTATTAACTCAAGGTCAAGTGTAGGAGGCTAGGAACTCCTTGTTCTGACTGTATAAACCTGTTGTTGTTAGGTGCCATCGAGTCAGTACTGACTCTTAACAACCCTATGCACAACAGAACGAAAACACTGCCTGGACCTGGGCCAACCTCACAATTGTTGCCACGCTTGAGCCCATTGATGCTGCCACTTTGCCAGTCCATCTCGCTGGATGTCTTCCTCTTTTTCTCTGACCCCCCACCTTACCAAACATGATATCCCTCTACAGTGACTGGTCCCTCCTGACAATATGTCCGAAGTATGAGAGATGAAGTTTGGCCATCCTGGCCTCCAAGGAGCACTCTAGCTGCACTTGCAACACAGATCTGTTCTTTTGGCAGCCCATGGCACTTTCACTATTCTCCTCCAACACCATAATTCAAAATGGTCTTCCTTATTCACTGTCCAACTTTCACATGCATTGAGGTTATTGAAAATACCATGGCTTGGGTTAGGCATACCTTAGTCCTCAAACTGCTATCTTCGTATATATTTTACAGCCCCTATCCAGGCCCTGTGTAAGTTTAATTCACTGAAACTCTGCTTGAAAGCAAAGCTCCCTAACCACAAACAGGAAGGACAGAGAAGTTCTACTCTGATCATTTGGGATTGTTGTTGTTGTTGTTATGTGCCGTGGAGTCGGTTCCGACTCATAGCAACCCTGCACAGGGTTTCCGAGGCTGTTAATCTTTACGGGAGCAGAACGCCTCATCTTTCTCCCATGGAACCGCTGGTAGTTTCGAACTGCTGACCTCACGGTTCGCAGCCCGATTCGTAACCACTACGCTACCAGAGCTCCTTTTTAGTAGAACTATTTGGAGTCGTTTTTTTCCTCATCATTTTGAGTGGTAGCAGGTTAATAGTATCGTTGTATGTCTCAGATCAAGATGGGGTAGAGGTCACATGCTGAAGGTGTACCTGGTCCCAGGGTGGAAATGAGACATGTTCAGGAATTGTTTCCGATCCTAGCTGAGGAAGAAGAGATGATCTATTCTTGAGATTGTCTGGCACTCACAGGGCTGCCCTGGCTGTCTCTCCCGGGCAGGTATTGGCCCTGATGGACACATCGCCTTCAATGAGCCAGGCTCCAGTCTGGTGTCCAGGACCCGTGTGAAGACACTGGCTATGGACACCATCCTGGCCAATGCTCGGTTCTTCCACGGAGATCTCTCCAAGGTGCCCACCATGGCCCTAACAGTGGGTGTTGGCACCGTCATGGAAGCTAGAGAGGTAAGGGTGTGGGATCTGGTGCTGAAGCGAAGGGTTTTGTTTTGTATTAATTTTTAATTTTATAAGTACCACCTGGGTACATTCTTAGTAAAACTGAAGACATTATATAGAAGGCTGAAATCCCATCCCAGCTGACTCCTGCCACTGTCTTCCTCCTCTTCAAAGGTGGTAATCATTGTAACCAGTGTGAGGTGAATGCTTCTGGTTTTATGCCTGGGACTGCCCAGGTGGTAACCATTGTAACCAGTGTGAGGTGAATGCTTCCTGTTTTATGCCCGGGACTGCCCAGGAAGCCAGACTCACTGGCTTCTCCTGTATGGTCAAATAGCTGCCCAACACCAGTAACACTGGCATATGAGTTTGTACTTGCCCAGGTATATGCTCCATGTAGTTGGTGATGGTCACTGTGTGAAAGGAAGCTCCCTCTGCCACCCAGGGATACATGTGGTTATACCCCAGTGATCTACGATTAGTAAACCTGGCAGAGTGAGCGAAGTGTAATTGTATCTTGAACCCAATTGAGGTTTTGCCTCCTAGAAAGTTATCATTTGAATTTTTTGCGGTTACAATGTCTTTTCATTAGAATTTTAGAAGCATTTTATCTTCCTTTCTGAGGTGTATGTACTCAGGGGAAGCAGCTACAAGTCTAGCTTCAAGTTTCATAGCCCAGGTCTATAAGCAAGCATCTAAATCAATGAGAGTTTCCTGTTCAAAGTGAACTTTGTGAGATGAATGGTGGCCGCTAGATTTCTGTTGGGTAACCTTGAATCAGTAGAGAGGCCACTCTGCTGGTTTTAGCCCTGCAACTTACAAAAAGGACATGAGGTCCGTCCCTACCACATGAATGTATCATGGTTTGGGAAAGGACCTGGGGTCAGAAATCAGGACACTGTTTTCTAAAATGAGTTCTGGATTGCTAAAGGGTCACATCCTTTCGAAGTCTCTGTTTTCTTATCCTTTAAAGTAAGGACAGTAAAACCCTCTTCACAACTCCATGAATTACAGTGTGGGAAACTTAGCCAAGGTCTTTCGGGTCAGTGCTTCAGAGAAGCCCGTGCCTTTGTTTGACTTACACAAAAAGCAGTACCGCCTTACAGCATCACTCTAAGCCACAACAGCGCCCGCAGGTTGACTGGTGAACTGAATGAAGGGCAGCCTTTCTGGAGAAAACTCACCTGTCCCAGGGAACCATTTCCTTATCGTAGGACATGAGGGTAATGATGCTACTTCAGTGGTGGGATAAAAGCACGAGGGGCACTGTGCACAGGGTATCATGCAACTTCTTGCTGCATGTGTTAAAATGAAGAGCCCTTACACCCACTCAGGGTGCCTGCCTAGAATCCAGGGGTCTGGGCTCCCAGCTCCAGTGCCCATTCTCCATTGCTGCCTTGTTTTGGGTCCCTAGGTGATGATCCTCATCACAGGTGCTCACAAAGCATTCGCCTTGTACAAGGCAATCGAGGAGGGCGTGAGCCACATGTGGACAGTGTCTGCCTTCCAGCAGCATCCCCGCACTATCTTCGTGTGCGATGAGGATGCCACCCTGGAGCTGAAAGTGAAGACCGTCAAGTATTTCAAAGGTGAGGGAGGGCTGGGCCTACCTAAGCTTTCATGCTCTCACCATTTTAACAGGCACTGTGATTTTAATAAAAATCAAGCCCTACCATTCTAACAACGGAGTCCTGGTGTGGCGCTGTGGGTTAATGCGCTGGACAGCAGTCAGTTTGAACTGCAAGGCAAGGTTGGAGGTTCAAGCCCACCAGCTGCTCCTCGGAAACCATGTACAGGGTCGCTATGGGTTGGAACTGACTCAGCAGCACTTAACAGCCACCACCATCTCACAATATACAGTCATGCTTTCTCTTCCATAACTGCAAGAATCCATTTCTGTAGATCTGTTTTCTCTAAGGAAGAGGAGTAGAAAATGAAAGCTCTAGTCCAAGGGCTATGTGATGATCTTGCCTCAACTCCCCAGACCTTTTATTTAAAAGGCACCTACTTAAAATTCGATCTTTCTTGTTATTTTGAAACATACATAATTTCATGTGACACCTCCCTCCTCCCAGTTTGTTGCACAAAATCACCTCTGATTCTAGTGTCAGAGGAACTGTACGACAGTGAACTTCAGGGTCTGCCTTCCAGACCTCATATGACCTTTCCTCTCTCGACAAGGCACTGAACCAGAGAGATACCATGACAATCTTTTTACCTTGTAAGCAAACTTACATGAAAATTCCCATTTACTAAGCAGGTATGAGGAATTAGTTTCTTTGCTGAAAAGCCAAACTTGCCTCTGAGTCAGTTTCAACCCATAGTGACTCTGTATAGGGTTTCCAAGACTACAAATCATTACAGGAGCAGACAGCCTCATCTTTCTCCCTTGGAGCAACTGGTAGATTTCAACTACTGACCCTGCAGTTAGCTTAAGCCACAGTGCCACCAGGGCCCCTTTTGCTGAAACAATTAACCTTTAACTACCCATCTCTCTCCTAGTGATTGAATGTACAAAGGTGCTGTGAACTGTAGCACTCATTGGGATCAGTAATTTTTTTTCAGGGGTTTGTCATTTGGGGGTCACAGAGAAAAGGTGAATATCAGTACTAGAACAATTTGAGAGCCTCCTGGGTGTTACTGTTGATCATGGAACTCTGCCTGTGCTAACCAGTGTTTTAAATTTTTGTAGGTTTAATGCTTGTTCATAGCAAGTTGGTGGACCCCTTGTACAGTATGAAAGAGAAAATTGAGCCTCCCAAGAAACCCTACAGTGATTAGCCTATGCTGGAACGAGGGTCAGATACCTCATTGGGCCGTGCAAGTCTTTCTGAAAATTGTCTTATAGCAGAATTGTATGCCTTTTGTGTATAGTATTGTTACTCCAAATAAGTGGGCTAATTTTTGTTTATGAAGTTTGGAGTCTATCATAGAGTTTAACTACAAGAATAACTGGATCAGAAAAAAAATCTCTGAAAAACGTATTCTACCCTAAACCACATCTAGATGAGGGGTCTGAACCTTCAGTTCTGCCTCCGACACTGTTTACATGCACAACACACTCCTGTCAGGAGCCTCTGTCATTACATACATGGCCTTTCAAATGGGAGGGAATTAGCAATTGTTATGTGGGACCCAGCCTTTCCAGAGCCCCTCTGAAGCAGGCTTGCGCCCTTGAGAATTGCTGTCCTGGAAACTCTGTCATCATCTAAATTCAGTATGAGGAAGCAGTTCCTGGTCAGTAACAAGTGTGATAGAAGAAAACCTTGTATCTCCTCCTCCAACCCCAGCTGTTCCTTCTGTTGTCACAGTTGACCTTTCTGTGAACTGGGAGGACTGGTCTAGAGTAGACCTTTGCTGATGAACCCAGATTCCCTAGTGGTCCCAGATACGTCAAATGCCTCTCCCTTGTGGCCCCTCTGAAGAGGAAGGTGGAAACCCTTTTCCCACCAGAGCCATGTGGTTTTTGCTAAAGGTCTCACTATGGCTCTTCTCTTTCACTCTACACTCAGTAAAAGGTAGTCCCTTGGTGTAACAGATGCTGCCTCCATTTCAGTGTTAGTGTTCAGTCAAGATAACCAGGTGGTGTGGTCTGATGGTCTCAGAACATCAGGAAACAGGGCCATTTTCTCCATGTAGACTTATCTTCTGAGCACAGGCTGAAGGATATTGCTTTTCCTTCTCTTTACTCTCCTGAGCATCTGTGGAGTGGGTGCTCTCTTCTTGGTTTTGTGCCTGCTTGAGGTTGCTTCCTCAGCTTCCAGAAAGACCTTCAGAGACTGGCTCAGACCTCTTTTAAGTGCTGTGTTTGGCATCAGTGTTTCGTCTTTAGCTTTTATATGTGATTGTACTGTCATTCTGTTTTAATCTAATGCGTTAATGGACTTGTTTACAATGTGATATTTTCTATTAAATCCAATATTTTCAAATAAAATGTGTCATTTGTGGACTTCTTTCTCCAAAGAACAGAAGAGGTTGTCTGGACTGATGCTATCTTTTGGAAACTACACTTACACTTCATAGCAGTTCTGTAGAAATGTCATAATCGCACCAATGATCTTTTGAGCTCTTCTTTAAAGCAGGGTAATAAAAATATTTTCTAAAAGTGAATGAAGCACTTTTGTGAAAAAATGGTACAAATAAAGAGGTGAGCAATAGTAAACTGTCATGTTCAGGCTGCATCAACGAGCCAAACAAAGATAACAAGAGATTTGTGATGAGAGAGCTAAAAACTGCTACGTGTGAAATTTAGAAACAATCTCAGGACCTAAAATTAGAAACCATCTCAAGAACAGATTTGATTCATCAAACACTGATGACTGAATATCAGATAAGTGGAATAACATCCAGAACTTCAGACATGAAGCAAAAGGTTATTAAAAAGGAAAGAAATGGATGTCAGAAGAGATTCTGAAACTTGCTCAAGAATGCAGACAAACTAAAGTGAATGGAAGAAATGATGAAGAGAAAGAACTTAACAAAAGATTTCAAAGGGCTGCTCGAAAAGACAAAAGCATGAAACAAGCAAAGTCCTGGAGTTAGAAAACCAAAAGGGAAGAACATGCTGGAATGTCAAGCTGAGAGAAGACTGAAGAAAAAATTCAGCCTCTAGTTACAAAATAAAAGGATTCTACGGGCCGAAAAATTGAACAATGCAGGAAGCATCAAAAGAAGATGGAAGTAATCTTAGGGGACACCATAGTCAACTGGCACAACATAGCACACAAAGACAATGTTCTACATCTTACTTTGATGAGTTGTTGTTATGTGCTGTGGAGTCGGTTCCGACTCATAAAGACCCTGTACAGGGTTTCTGAAGCTATAAATCTTTATGGGAGCAGAACACCTCATCTTTCTCCCGCGGAACAGCTGGTAGTTTTGAACTGCTGACCCTGAGGTTCACAGCCTGATTCGTAACCACTATACGCTACCAGAGCTCCTTTGATGAGTAGCACTGGAATATTAAAAGCTCATGTGCGGCTTTCTAAGGTGCAGCTATTGGTCTCTCCATGTGCAGAAGAAGAGTGATAAGAATTGAAGATGCTTTGAAATCAACTAGTCCAGTGGATGAATGGATCATGTGAACAGCAGTCTCCACAACTGAGACCAGAACTAAATGGTGCTCGGCTACCACAACCAACTGCTCTGAATGGGATCACATTAGAAGGTCCTGGATAGAGTGACATACATAATATGTGGAACAAAACTCAAAATTATTTAAAAAAAAAAAAAAAAAGGACCAAGCTTACTGGTCAGAAAGAGACTGAAGGAACCTGAGACTGTGGTCCCTGACCACTCTTCAGGTCTGAAAAAGAACTTACCCTCCTTCAGTCAAGCATAGGTATAGAGGGTGAACAACTTTCAACAAAGCAGTAGATAGGTATATAAGGGGAACAGCAAAACTAGTAAGATATGCTCACTACGTACCTAAGGACAATGGAGAGAAGGGATGGGACAAGGGAAATGGGAGCCACAGGGAGGAAGCAGATGACTCTTGTTCCATGGAGGGGATTGCAATCATTGAGATGAAACAAAGTGTATTATTTGTTGAATGTAAAACTCATGATCTTGTCTATAAACCCTCACTCAATTCACAAGTTAAAAAAAACAGGATGGAAGGTGGCAGAGTAGGCAGACACATTACAGTGACCCGCTACAACAAAGATACAAGAGACCAAATGAAACAGACATAGATGATAATCCTCAAATCCTGAGTTTCAGAAGAAAGAACACACGAGTAGGCTGAATACTGACTAGGAGAAGCTTAACAGGTTGCAAGGAAGAGACATGTTGGTGAACTGTCAGCTGGCCTGACTTGATGCAGCCACCTTGAACTTTTGCAAGCAGCATTGGATCCAGACAGCAGCCTGAAGGAGCAGACACACTGGTAGCTAGTGATGAGAAAGGCGACAGCAAGTGTGCCCATGTAGCCTGGCCACAACCGCACCTCCTGTAGCTCCACCCACTGGGCAAGAGCCACTACCAGCTCTTATACCACCTGATCAACAATAGCAGTAAACATTAGCCAAACTGACCCAGAAGTGCACCACACAAACAGCAAACAGAACTGTGCACACACTTTTAATTTTCTATGACACCCAGCAGGAAGCAGGTGGTGAGTGTCTTAAGAACACACCAACATACAATCATCAATTAAATACAAACACAATGATACCACCACACATTGAAGACAACAGACAATTTCAGTTCACACAAAGAAACAATACAGAGGGTCTCAAGTAACCAAAATGCAGAGTCAGAAAATGTTTTTGAGGAAGAAAAGGTATTGGAACTACCTGATAAGGAACTCAGAAGAATGATATTTAGGTCCCTTCAATGAGTTGAGAGAAAGATCAAGAAAGCTGGAGAACAGAAAAAGCTTTAGAAAAATTCAGGAAAACACTACAAGAACAAATAGACAAAATAAATGGAAAATTACAAACAATACAAAAGCTGTAAACAGAAATCCAGAAGATTAATATTAAGAGTTCAGAAATAGATAATACATTGAAAAGGACAAGGGAGTAGATCTGAATCAATGGAAGGCCTAATTTGTGATCTAGAAGACAACTCTCAATATAGTCTGTTAGAAAAACAATCAGAAAAAACTCTGAGGAAAGCCTAAAAATTTTGTGGGATACCATCAAGAGAAATAACTTATAGGTGACTGAAATTCTAAAACAGGAAAAGACAAAAAAAGCACAGAGAAAATGGTATAAGATCTGTTGGAAGAAAACTTTCCTAACATCATGAAAGAAAATAAGTATTCAAAAAGCTGAATGAACCCCAGACAGTATACAACCCAATAGAAAATCACAAATATCGTAAACTTTTCCAAAACCAACGATATGAAAAGAATGTTGACAGCAATTCGGGAAAAACGGACAAAGAAGAACCAGTAATACAAAGCTCTGGCTTCTCAGGTAAGAAGACAATGAGATGACATATATATGATTCGGAAAGAAAAAAAATGCCAACCAAGTATTATATACCCAGCAAAATTGTCCCTCAAGAAAATGAGAATGAAATTAGATATTTCCAGATAAACAGAAATCAAAGGAATTTATAATAACCAGACCAACTTGAGAAAAAACAAAAAGCAAACTTAAAAGTTCTTTCGACTACAAGAAAAAGACAACCCAATTAAAAAGTGGGCACAGGATATGAACAGACACTTCACTAAGGAAGAGATCAGGGCAGCCAACAAACATATGAA